TCACCTCAACTAATCGCTGCTCATTTCAAATCACCCCACATCAACTCTTCTCACTTCACCACAACTGACTTTGACTCACCTCAGCCGAACTCACCTCATTTCTTCTCAACTCAATTCACCTTATCTTACTTCAACTCACCCAAACTCAGCTCCCCGAATTAATAGTTGTGTTTTTGTATTCTCCAGCAAAAAATACCTAGTAACTTGTCAATAACCAAATTTCGGAGAGTAAGCCAATATTTACTCCCAATGAGAGAAATATCCAAGAAAGTACGAAAACGCGAAAACCAGCAAGAAGTTGCAAGTCTTAAGAACAGCTGATTAATTTGTTATTAAGCGAACAGGGCTAATTTTATTTCAGCTCAACTCACCTCACCTGAACTCACTTCACTTCACCTTAACTCGACTCAAGTCAATACCGCTGGCGGAACACTAGTACAAATCAAAAGACAAATATTTTACGGATCCTGCATCAGATTTACTCCATTACATCGGGCTTTTATCCTAACATCGCTTATAAAACGGCTTGTCGCTTTATTCACCGTAAACTACAGAAATATTACAGACATACTTAGATATTCCAGTGTTCGAAAAAATTGTGAAAAATAAACTAAATTTCAATTCAAAATGTTTTAAATCATCTTACTTAAACATTTTGAAGTTTGTAAGCGTAGACGAAAGAGGGAGACAGGTGGCATTCTTAACTTTCAATAGTAAAATAATTTTAGGCAAGCTATTGCACTCTAAATCAAAAACAGTCACAACGCAAAAAAACCCCAGATGTTCAGGAGAGGCAAAAAACTGTTGATGCTGAACAAGCGACGCAAGCAAAACAAAACCCGTCGGTTTTCCAATTAAGGAAGATAGTAGGGAAAAGAAATTTTGGTGTACGTTAGAAATATGCTGAGTGAACTGTTTTATGAAAAAATTCTATTTAAAAAAAAATTTAGTTGTGACTGTTTTAGATTTATGGTGCCATATGAAGGTATGTTTGTATTGTTTCTTTTTAAGAAAAAACCTTTATTTTAAAAAGCATTGTTGTATGTAGAAATTTATTTACACAAAAAAGTATATATATATGTATTAATTATAAGTTAAAGAGGTAGTGTATTTTTCAGTTTATTTACTTTAAAAATGTAGAATTTTACGGGGGTTGATACTGAAGTGATGACATATTGTAACACTAATGTTAATATGCCAAAGGTGACATTTTCATTATAAAGTCTGGGCTCGAAAAGACGTGATACGTCAGTCGTATAAGTTGATAAAGAGTACGTTCACTTACATATGTCATAATCCGAAAATTGTGTTCTTAAGTGATGAGTAATACGATATCGTATGTGACGATTCGAGCCCTGATATTTTTACTGGTAAGTAAACATACTCAGAACATTTTTTCATACGGACATACATATGCTATTGGTGTTGTTTCCAGATACTTCAATAATTCTTCATGATCATGCAACTAAATAATGAACATTTTCAATTATCTTCGACGTTTATGTATTAAACAAGCAGCAGTGTGTCGAACAACTTGCTTCGACTACTGGCACCATCTCGAACCACCGTCTTTCGCGGTCGCACTTCTTTACAGGGGGAATTTCGTGAAGGCCGTTCAAATTGGGCTGTTTTGCCAGAAAAAAATCTATGCCGTACCTGAACTGATACTCCAAGATCATCATGTAACTTACCGTAAGATCGAGGCAAGCTTGGGCACTTGTTCTACTCATGTCGATTTGTGCAATGAAATGCTCAAGATGGGTGTATATAACGGTAATTTAGAGAAATACGAAATCTTCGATAAATCAGTAAATACATGAGATAATTTATTCACAATTGTTGTTTGCAATAACTCTTTAGCACAAAATACGTTTATGATAAAATGTTTGAAAATGGGCATGGCACCACCCTATTATAACCGCGTATGTGTATCTCGGTAAATGTTCCATCAATTTGTATCAAGCTCGGTATAATTATTGAACTTGCCACATACAGGCCAGGCGTTGAAAATTTTTTAAATCTGACGAAGTTTACGCCCACTTTTCTTACCACGGTGTATTCCAAAATGCTGAAACTTCGATATTTGAAATTTAAGGACGCTAATTTACTCAAAATTGATACTCACAATAATCTCTTGAAAATAAGTAACATTACTATGGAATTTGGGAAAATGGGCGTGAAACCGCCCACTTATAACTATATAAGTTTATCTCATTAAGTCCAACTGAACATACTATCGAAGATGTTGAAATAGGGCTGAAACCACTTGAATTTTTTCAGTATCTGTTAGCAACTCAAATGCCATACGTTGACCATATTTATGGCAGCCAAATACGGGGCATAAAATAATTTTCCCAATACAAAGATATGTAAATATTCAGTTGTAACATCACGCAATTGTAGAATACTTTTCCATAACTTTTTACTTTGTGCTCGGGATTGGGGAAATATGATGAAAATATCAGACTACTTTTGAAGTGGAAGTTGTTTTTTTAACGGATTATTTTCAGACTCAGATTTCAACCAAGCACAATGCAGTGCATAGCATCCGGTAGGAGCTGAACTGCAAAGCGTACCTTTGAAGGGATCAACTTCGCTTCGATAATGAAGGACTTCTCCACTTTTACAACATTTTCCTGGAAGCCTTCTTATTTAGAGTTTCTCATATTGAAGATACATTCCTTCATAAAATCAGCAATAATTTTGTTGACCTAGTTTCGTCTAATGAGTTTTTCTCTCTTCGCAAAATTTGGAGATTGCCACTCACCACAGCACATTGGACTGGTGATAGCACCATATACGTATACAAAGTTTGAAGTTTTAGAGAAAACTGTAAACAAAAATACCGATTTAAAGACGAATTTCTCGAAAAAAGTTAAATCAACAGAAGGAATAGGAAAAACTACTAGTGAAATTTCTTTTAGAAATCTGAAAGAAAATCATAATCGTCCAATTTTGATTCAAACTCACAAATGCCCAGTTTCTCTACGCAATAATAAAATTTCAGAAACCATATACATACATATGTGCTCCTAAATTTGAATCAAAAGCGTCTAGATTTAAGAATAAAAACTGGTTAATTGGCATGCCACTTTTATGAGCTTTTAGGGCATCAAAATACCGAATACGGGACAATTAAGGGACATCAAAGGAAATACAGAACATTTGGCGTCCCGTATTTAAATAAAGTACCAGGACAATGGACGAAAAAAGAGGATTGTCCTGTATTATACAGGACGGATGGTCACCGTGCTTCTATGACAAAGCATTCTGAGTACGTTTGCTTTACAATGACTGAATAACTCAGTGAGAGGGGAGACCAGCATTATGACATTTATGTATTTATATACAGAAAATATGTATTTATATACAGAAATTATATTTAGGCACTGTGGCCAATGGTAAAGTTCGTTTACCACCTCTGCATGGTTTGTAAGCTATGCAGAGTTCGCAAAATGCTCCGAAAGCAGTGTCCAGAGGATGCACCAGACTAGGCCGAGAATCCTTTGAAGGGCCATCTAATTGAAACTTAAGAAAGTTCAATTACGTAGCAGTTGAGAAGTGCATGTGCAAAAATTTCTTAAATTGGATAAAGGAAATTTTAGTACATGCAGCAGTACATAACACGAATTTAGGCGCCCGGTGTTAGCAGTCGCGCCTAAATAATGACATCTTCACATTCGTGTTTCAATATTTCCATACTTAAGTAGCAAGCCTAGTTTCAATAAAAATGGCTTTCTGATAGACGCATTAATGGATGTTGTACTTAAAATTGTACATATCGTCGATGCCTTTGTAAAACCGCCCATCGATCAATTGCAAAACCGCTTATCTTACGGCACTCAGATTTTACAGGAAAGCGAAAAACCTGTTTTTCTTTTAAGGCATCCCTGCAGAAAAAAATTATCAATTGATTAAAATAACCAACTTCTAGTTAGGCTTTTTGCGGGATATCGATAAATAACTAACGTTTATTTAGCTATGATAAAACTAGCCTTAATTTAGTTATAAAGTCGTGCAGGAGTCATGCAGACGTTATCGGGAGTTTGCTTTCTTTACAAGTTTCTATTTAAATATCCTCATACAAAAATTACTTTCAATAAACTTTTTTTCTACACTTCGCAGATTCTTTTTCGTATTCGGGACAAATAAAATAAAGGTTGAAATTTTATACTATCATTTTGATGTTATGTCTGATCGATTTAAAATGGGAGACCAGTTACGAAAGAACATGTAAACACATAAGCAAATATGTAATGTTAAATAAAATATGTAAATAAATAAAAATATAAAAAAAATTTAGACTTTTTTTTATTGATAGTTTAAGTCCAAAAGTAGTTAGCTACAAGTTAGTTGACATCTAATGCAAAGGAAACCAGTTCTCACTATTTTGCGGCAATCGCCCTTCAAAAGTAACTGCTTATAGCCAAAGGAAATAGCTAATAAATAGTTACCAGTAGGCGACTGCTAGTTAGTTAATAGTTAGCTACAAACTAGTGCCATTTCTTGCAGGGTGTATTGACTTGATAAGCGTTATTTTCTCTAGCAAATCTATTGTTTTAATAACTATTTTAAGATTTATATGCATAAATCGCGATGCCTGGAGTTCATGGTTACCAAATCTCATATTTGCCACAATGGCGATTTAGGCGGTTTTGCAAAGACATCCACGATATGTATGTATGTAAATTACTTTACTGTGTTCTTAATGACTATGTGATACCTGAGCGTTTCTTAACTTAGCTAAACTTATGTATAAAACATGTCTTTTAAACTAATAGCGTCCAAAAATAATATTTAAATATAGGAAAATCGTAGTATTTTTATAAGTTTGTACTTAAAATTCCTCTGCCAAAGTGCCTAACCAAATGTCATTCATGAGCATTTGTCAAACTGGCGGCATGAAGAGGTAAACGAAAGTGCAGAAAACTGCAAAAAATTTCACAAGAGAAATGCTTGCCATTTAGTGCAATCCCACGGCCCCCGCCCATTCCCCACTTTCACGTGGCTGCAGCATCACTTTGCTCATTATCGTCGTGTTGAGTTTCTTCCGATTCAGTTGAGAGTCCCTTTAGAGATGAGATGAAATGAATGATGATTAATTAAATCTTTTTTATTATTTTTAATTAAAGTCTCCACCACTCACCAGCCGCGTTGGACAATCGGCAAAAAAATGGGATTCGGATTTGCATATATGACAGCGTTTTGGTTGCGGTTCCTGCGGGCACATAGACGCAATGTGGTTGGCGAATTTGCCGCAATTATAGCAGCGTACGCGTCGTCGCTTTTTTGTGCGCGGCCGAAAGGTACTGCCAGTACAATCCAGTCCCTTGCTGCCGCTGACACGAGTCGCCTCCAGCCCTCGCTCGGTTAGCTTGCATTCGAATTCCACTTCCTCTTGCTCGGCCAGTGATCGGAAGCCGGACATTTGTATGACACTCTGTTGCAGTTGAAATTGTGAATCAGCATAAATAGGACGAAGAATACTATATTTTTACCTGATGCACAAACACCTCCTGGCCTCCGTCATGCGGCGTTATAAAGCCCCAACCTTTTGCCACATTAAACCATTTGCACTTGCCGTAGCGCACACAGTCCGTTTCCGTAAGATCGGCGTCTGTAAGAAGGATAAAGAAGAAGAATTTAACACACTATTATGGGATTCACTAGGCGTATTAAGCGTCGTAGTATCGTAAGTCTTAAAATTTTTCTCTGTAATAAAACGGTTTTAGGGGGTTCGACGTGTATGTTAAGGGCTAATTATATATTTTCTATCAGTTCCGAAAACCTTTACAAATATTATTAACGTACGGATATTCTGCCGAAATCAGCAATGAAATCTGAGTTTTGTTAAATTTAGTCCTAAAAATGCCTCGCTAAATAAATTTAAACCCTTATTCAAAAGGTGTCACCTTGCAATTGTTTCGTTTCCTAGCATTTCGCAAAATAACAACTGCTTGAATTCTACCCAACATAATAACCCCGTTCCAGGTACTTCACAATTTGAAGGTTTTACAGGAACAGCTGTCTTCGCCATTAATAAACTTTATGAAAGGTGGCGACCAGGAGCGACTTCCTGTAAAAACCTGCACATCAGGAAGCACCTGGAACAGACTCAGTACTTCAAACTGAGACAATTACTGCTGCTTTTGTGCTTCTTGTGCAATGTAAGTTCTAAAAATTTGGAATAGTTGCAAACTGCCGACTCTTGTATATGATATATCGTCACCTGAAATTCAAAAAGACGTAACAACATCGTAAGTGAAATAGAAAAAGGCGTGACTAATATTTTTTTTTTTGACGTAGAATACGTCTTACCTTAAGGTATGGGGGCTATGTTCAAATGTTGTAGTTGTAATTTTTAAAGCTTCACAAAAACGCTTATTGCACGAGAACTAAAAAAGCGATTTCAAAGAAAA